CTTCTGGATGTGGAAGTCAATGCCACGATCAGTATGTCGTTGCCGATTGCCATGTCCCAAGCAGCCTAGAGGAACTTTGCTCCCAGAGCACAAGTTTTTGAAGCTGGAGAAACTTCCCACATGTGATTGTCTCAGCATGTGAAATGTCCATAGCTCCTTGCATGAAATAGGATAGGCATTCTACAAAGCCCAGCTATCCTGCCATTACCTAAGCTTACTTTCAGACAGTCTATTTTAAACTGGAGAATAGAAAGTAAAATTGTTCACTAACTTCAATGATTCCAGCTGAATTACAAACACTAGCTTAAGACTTTGTTGTCACATAACTTGAGTCTTTCAAAACTAGGTGTGCGCTGATTCCCAGGTGCCGCCTGCGTGTATGAGGGAGGGCGAGAGAGAAAAAGAGAGACAGGTAATTTGCAGGTAAGTGAAAGCCTTGAGCCTGGTCTCAGTTTATATTTTCCTGTTCTGCTGCTTCACTGACTCAGGTAAATAAAGGCCTGAATTCTTTGTCCCAATTAATATCCTCCTTCTCCACTGCATCTCTGAGCCTTAGGAAGGTTTTGCCAGAAAATAAAAAGAATTTGATGTTGCAGTAGGTTCTTAAAACAGAGTTATAGCATTAGAGAGCAAATACTGGAACTTACTAAGGTAAAGAAGGCTTTAGACTTTTAAGGGTAACTAGGCTGTTTAAACTTGGTAATTATCAATTGTGGGCCCGAAAAATGGCAAACAAACATTAAACATTGAGAATGAATGTTGAGAGTGGCTGGAGACTGATATATACAGGGACAAATCATTCTCTTTGTTGAGGAGCAACAGGACACTGGCGATATTGGACAGATTGTCTTTTGTAATCTAAAAAAAAGTCAAGGTTTGAAAATATATTCATGAGATCCCAGTCACGAATCAACTTCAGGTTTTGTTCAACAGCACAGAAGGCATTAAGATCCTGATAAAAAAAGGCAGCTAGAATACCAGAGGAAACAGCTTGAACACCATTTATAGGTCACAGAAAGACTGTGGTTATGCAGGATTCTCTGCTTGGATAATATGAAGTCATGCAGGGCCACGGGATGCTGAACTGCCCATTTAGAGCTAAAGCTGTATACATTACAGAAAGGTGGGAAAAGGCACCAAAAGGATTAGGTGCAGCTAAGTTCTTCTTATTTATTAATCGAGTCAATGACCTCGGTAGAAAGACAACAGGAACCATAAAGGGCAAATCCACAACAATTAAACATTAAAAACCGGAAATGTAAGCGTGGCGAGGAATTGTCCCTGTGCTTCGGAAATAAGCGGTGTTCAATTAGAAAATTAAGGGTGCTCATAGATAGTTGGTAACAAAGAGCAGATTCTTCCTAGGGTCTGAATGACACTGTCACTGATGAGTCAGTTGGAAAAGTAGGGAGACATTTGCAGAAATTAGATACTTGACATTGAGAGTAAAAAAAGGTCTGCAACTCCAGCTAGGTTTTGAGTGAGGAAATGAGAATCTTGGTAGTCAGCAGAGAGGTCAATTTGTAGCCATTTGCATGTATTTGGTTCAGGCATGCTCCTTGGGCACTAGCCCTCTGTGCCACTCCCCCCCTCACCCACATTGGACATGTACCAGCCTTATCACACCGACATGGCACATCACCTACAACACAGTTCTGCACTTCAATGCTGCATTTCAGGTGCACCGGCAGCTATCATGACAATGTTGCTGCCAGGACACTTTATGTACAGGGACCCTAATCCTAACTAAACATTAAAAACCTACTAAACTAAACTTTGGGGCAGCACGGTGGCACAGTGGTTAGCACTGCTGCCTCACAGCGCCAGGAACCCAGGTTCGATTCCATCTTTGGGTGAGTGTCTGTGTGGAGTTTGCATGTTCTCCTCGCGTCTGTGTGGGTTTCCTCTGGGTGCTCTGGTTTCCTCCCACATTCCAAAGATATGCACGTTATGTGGATTGGCCATGCAAAATTGCCCGTCGTGTCCAGGGATATGTAGATTAGGTGGGTAATGGGGCTGGGTGGGACGCTCTGAGGGTCAGTGTGGACTTGTTGGGCCGAAGGGCCTGTTTCCACACTGTAGGGATTCTATGATTTTCAATGATCTTCATGGATTTCACCAGGATGCATCTCAGGTCTCGTCGCTCGCTCTGTTAGTGCTCACTCACTTTGCATTACTTTGAGGACTGAGCTACGTCACGCCTCACACCTGCACCATATGCCAATGGCCCACACAGCAAGCACAGTGCATGGGCATCAATCAAGCAGCCAAGTCTCAAAGTCTAAAGGGAGTCATGCTCATTCAGATCAAGGGAGATAGCATTCAGTGAGGGGGCCCAGTACAGTTAGTCAACGGAGCTTGCAATATCAATCCAGTAGCCTGGACACAGTCAGTACGCCATTGAGAATGGTTAGGGTCAGGGTCAAGGTCAGGGGTCCTTATCACTACAGCACGCCATGGTCAGTCCTGCAGGTCCAGTGCAACCAGTGCAGTGATTGGAATACATCAGGTCAGGGAGCTACACAGATATCAGTAGGAAGTCCAGTCACTCATGGCTCAGAGCTGTTCATTTAGGACAGTCAAGGGGGTGCGCCACAATAAGGGTCAGCTCAATCCAAGTCAAGGAGAGTTATTTGGGCCATTGCTATGGTGGCAAACCTGGGAAAGTGAATTTTAGGACTTGGTCACAGCATGCTGAGATGTGGGGGTGACAACAATTCCCCAATGAGCGAGGAAAGTGAGACTGCATGTGAAAACATGTTACTGTGGGAGGGGTGTCATCGATAGCACAATGGGAGGACTGAGCATAACGATGGCTCGTGTGACAAATCGGTAATGCTGGCAGATCCAGTGGTGTAATGTTGGGGAATGATGTTGTAATTCAAAGAGGTGTGTGGGAATGTGGAGGCTCAGTACTAATGCTGCTTTTCAGGCATTTAATTGGACAGCAGAAGGTCTGGTCTGGCCTGGGATCAAAGACTCTGCGAGGTGGGAAAGAGCTGCCAATCAAGTAGAGACTGGATGGTGTATTGAACAGCGGTGTCACTGGGGAAATGCTGCCTGCTAATGAGCCAAGGCCTGAAAATGGCACTGAATCACAGGCCTCAGGCTCCTACATGTAAGCTCACCTTTCCCAGCAAGGGGCAGGTATCAGTGTCAGCAGGAAGAAGCACTTAAGTGGGCATTAAACCACAGCAAGGGATATGGATATTCCGAGTGATGGACCACAGCTTCAGGATTTCTGTGCTCAAATTTCACATCCTGGAATTGCAAGTCAACTTCAGTGATTGTCAAAGCTCTGTCCACCCACTATCCTTCATTCACACTCCTCTAGCACCCACCATTTAAACTCCCCACCTCCACCCTCCAGCTTCACGCTACCCTTCCACGGCTCCCAACCCAATCCCAACACTCACTTCATTCAACCCCATATTCGCCCCTATCCCCAACCTCGCCCCTCATTCACCCCCATCCCCTCCCAGGCATTCATCCCCATCCCCAGCCCCTCATTCACCCCTATTCACTCGCCTGCATTCATCCCCTCTCCACTCATTCACCCCATCCTCACTCCCTCATTCACCGCATCCCCTCTCCCTCATTCACCTCCATTCCCCTCCATTCACCCCATCCCCTCCCACACATTTAGTCCCATCCCAAACCCCTCATTCATCCTCATTAACCCCCACACCACCCCCTCATTCACCACCATACCCTCACTCGCATTCACCCCTTTCCCTCCCCTGCAATCACCCACATTCTCTCCGCTGTATTCACCCCCATTCCCAACCCCATCCCCTCGCCCACATTCAACCCCGTCACTACCCCCTTGCTCACCCCTACACCTCCTTCTCATTCACTCCCTTCCCCAACCCACATTCAATTCCATCCCACACCTGGATTCACCCCAATCCCCTCCCCCACAAACAACACCATCCATTCACCTGCATTGAATCCCCTCCCCTCCCACTCATTCACAGCATCCCCACCTCCTCATTCACACACCCTCATTCAGCCCTTCCCCAGCCCCTCATTGACCCTCATTCAACCCCTCTCCACCCCCTCATACACCTACTTCCCCACCTCCTCATACATTCACTTCCCCACACCCACAAACATCCACCTCCCCACTCCCACATATATCCTCATTCACCCTCCTCCCCAACCCCTCATTCACCCATTTTCGCCCCTTCCCCACCACATCATTCATCCTCATTTGCCTCATCCCCACCCCCTCACCCAGGCCGTCATTCAACCCCTTACCCACCCCCTCATTCAACCCCTTACCCAATACGTCATGCACCATCATTCACCCCTTACGCCAACTCCTCATATATCCTCATTCACCCTCTTCTCCACCCCCTCATTCACCCGCATTCGCCCCATTCCCCACTCCCTCATTCACCCCCATCCCTACCCCTCAATCGCACTCTTCCCCATCCCCTCATTCACCCTCATTCGCCCCATTCCCTGCCCTTCTTGCCCACACACGTCCTCCTCATTCACTCCACCCCCACCTCCTCAATCACCTCCATCCCCTCTCCCACATTCACTTCTGTCTTACCCCTCATTCACCCCTTTCCCCTCCCATCCCTTCATTCAGCCTCATCCACTCCCTTCTGCACCCCTGTCATTCACCCCCTTTCACATGCCCGCATTCAACTCCAGCCCCTCCCCTGCATTCAACTCCATCCTCTTCCCCTGCATTCACCCCCCTCCCCACCCCACCCCCGTAGTCATTTCCTTCTCCCGCATTCACCCCTTCCCCCAAATTCACCACATCCCATCCCATCCCATCCCATCCCCTCCCCTCCCCTCCCCGCACTCACCCACCCCCTCATTCAGCCCCTTCTCCACCACCTCATTCACACTAATTTTCCCCCTTCCCCACCTCCTAATGCACTCCATCCCCTCCCCATCCCAACCTTCCCCCTCATTCACCCTAATCTTCACCCCCTCATTCCCCACCATCACCTCCACCTTCTCCGCCACCCATTCCCCAACACTTCACTGATACATCCCAACCTCGTTCACATTCTCTCCCCCTCCTTCACACCCCCCTCTCTCAAACACACACACCCTTCCCTCACTCACACCCTAAACCCGCAGTAATTAATATTTTTCGACTTCTTCCCACTCACCAGTAATAAATCTTCTGTGTAATTGAAGATCCCCGACCCATCTCTAGAATTTAACACTTGTGGAGAGACAAAGTAAGTTAACGTCTTTCTCTCTCTCTACAGATGCTGCCAGAGCTGCTGGGGTTCTTCACCATTCTGTGTGTTTGTTTCCAATTTCTAGCATCCGGAGTTCTTTAATTTAACATGTAGCTGGGCTGGTGTAAGAATGTGCTGTAAGTTGATCTAGTTGTGCAAGGTACCTGTTGTTGTGATTTTCTTTTTGACTGCAGCCCTGTGTGTTTCGTCCCTTCTCTTATTCCGTTCCGGGCACCTCTGGAGAGTCAGCCAGCAGAGGGCGAGGGAAAGGAATGGACTGGGACTAAGGTGAGTTTGTTTAATTCCCGCTTGTTCTCTCTCTCTCTCTCTCTCTCTCTCTCTCCGGCTGCTCCTTCATGTCTCACAAGCAGGGCTTACAGCTCCTGAGTCTCCCTATGCACCTTCCGCTAGAACAGGGAGCTGTGCAAAGACGCGAACCTTCACTGTATATAACAGTAGGCACCTTCCGCAGACTGAATACCACGAACGTGAAAGGGGGAAGCAGTCTCAGGGTCGCTGGAAAGCTAGACGTGTTGCTGCATTCATTTTGGGTGGGATCGGCAGGACGCCACATGACGTGCTGTGGCCGAAATACAAAAGTTGCCTTTAAGTTGAAGCAGAAAGTACGGGAAAAACTGTTATTGAAATTGGAGCAGTTTAGGCCCGAAGAATGAGACGCAGCTTCCTTTCAGATAAGCAGTTCACAGTAAGGGAAAAAGACTAAGAACAAAGGAATCAAACAGCAGTGGTGGTGAGGGACAATTTAATAAGCAGAAATGCAAACATAACTTCCCTATTTTATGACAATCTCCTTGAGATAAGGGCTAATGTTTCATGAACCTTTTTCGATTGCTTTTAGTGTACATATATTATCCCTTCAAAATAGGAGCGAAGCAAAATTGGAAAGGCGTAAGAATATATTATTTTAAAGAAAAGCCAAATCATGTGTTTAAGTAGTGCGAGAGGTTAGCCTGAGATTGCATGCACAAACTGGATACACAACTCGGAATTAGATTTTAAAAAGCAAAAGACAGGTGTATGTCGTATATATTTGGTATCTTAAAGCAGTTTACTTTCAATTAAATATATTTACAGTATCTGTTAAGCATAAACACAAGCAGCCAGTTTTACACAGTCTTGCCAGCAGAAGTGAGATTGGTCATTTGATCAACACTTGACTGAGGGAATGATGTTGACAGTGACGCATATGCTCTTTTACAAATAGTCTGCTGGGATTTTTACTGTCTACCAGAATAGTGTCAACAGAACCTTGGTGCAATATTGCATTTGCTAAAGCTGCTGCAGGTTATGTGTCCAGTCTTTGGAATAAGACAGAAACCCTGAATTCTTTCATTTCATTAATGAGTGTTGCCAACAAGAATCTAGCTGAAGAATAACATGGCCAGTTCTGTGGTAACTCGACGTTCCCAAAGGCAAACTGTCTGGAGAGATTTGCATGTACTTAATAGATTTGCAACTTTGTTTGTTGGATGTGGACATTGCTGGCATTTGTTGCCTATGCCAAATTGCCCTTGCAAAGGTGATAATGAGCTTCCTCCTTGAACCTCTGCAGTCTACTAGACAGTAGGTACATTACTCCAATCTTGACCAATCTCTTTCGTGGGTCCCTGCAGTGGACAGACTGATCGTCCTTGGTAATTTCGGTGCCAGAGTCGGCAAAAGTGCAGACCTTTGGGGGCGATGTAATCGGGAAAGAGGGCGTACGGAAGCAAAATTCCAATGCCACCCTTCTCCTGACCAAATGCCGTGAACACAACTTCCTGATCACCAACACACTATTCTGCCAAAGGGGCAAATACAAGACAACATGGCAGCACCCGTGCTCCAGACACTGGCACCTCCTTGACCATGTCATTGTCAGAGGTGAGGGATTGGAAAGATGTTAAAATCGCCCACGCCATAACAGGAGCTGATAACTGCTGAACAGATCATCTCCTGATCCGAGCCAATATCAACATAAATGTAGCCCTGCTGCAGTGGAGACAACAGGAGCAGTGCCACATAAACTTCAACACTGTGGCACTCAAAGACCTGGAAAAGATAACCTCATATGATCAGCTCCTCACCATAAACCTCGTGACCCTCAGCAACACTGACTTGCAGGATTCCAACAGCTTCTGGTCTCCCCTCAAAGCCGCCATTATCAATGCCTGCAAAAATTTGGCCAGTCACTCAACTAGGAAACACCAAGGCTAGTTTGGTGAAAATGATCAGGAGATCCAAAAACTGAGTGTAAAACAGCAACAGCAACAGAACTTGGAAGAGAAAAGGCAGGCCTACAGGCGACTGAAGGCCAAGGTCCATCAATGAACCCGTGACATAAAGAACAGGTGGTGGATGGAGAAAGCACTGGAGGCCCAACAAATGGCCAATAGCCATGATGTGCAGGGTTTCTTCTATGCAGTCAATGCTACTTATGGACCAAACACACAAGGCCTCACTCCACTGCTGGCCAAGAATGGAGTGATTCTTATCAAAGACCAAGAAGCCATCAAACAACCTTACAGGGAACACGTCAGAGACCTCCTCAACCATGGCTCTGGCATCGTTTCAAGCGTTCTTGAATGCATTCCATCACACACTACATACCACATGCTAAGCAACACCCCAGCCTTGCACGAAGTAGATAAGGCCATTTGCCAGCTTAAGCACAACAAGGCTGCTGGAACAGACGGTATCCCCACTGAGGCGCTGAAATGTGGAGGCACTGAGCTCCTACTGCAGCTACACACACTTGCCTGCCTTATCTGGAAGGAGGAGAGCATCCACGAAGAGCTCCGAGATGCCACAGTTGTGAGCGTCTTCAAAAAAGTGAAGAAGCCTGACTGTGGTATCTACAGGGGATATCTCCCTGCTGTCGACGGTTTGGAAAAGTTATCACCAAGGTCCTCCTCAACCACCTCCTCGCTGTGTTTAAGGAACTCCTCCCGGAGTCGCAGTGTGGCTTCTAGCCATGGAGGGGGACAACGGACATGATTTTCACCGTGTGACAGCTGAAGGAAAGATGCAGAGAAAAGAACCTACCCCTGTACATGGTCGCCTTCGATCTTAAAAAGGCCTTTGACACCAACAGTCAGGATGTATTATGGAGCGTACTTCTCCGCTTTGGTTGCACCATGAAGTTTGTCACCATCCTTCGCCTGATTCGCAATGACATGGAAGTCGTGGTAATGACAAACGGATCCACCACCAACACATACCATGTTCAGACCGGTGTCTAGCAGGGCTGTGTCTTCATCGTCCCCACACTGTTCTTGATCTGCTTCACTGCAATGCTTCCCATCACTGCCAACAAGCTTCCCACTGGAGTGGAGCTAACTTACAGAACCAGCGGGAAATTATTCAACCTCCACCACCTTCAAACCAAAACCAAAGTCACCCCAACCAGTGTCATCGAACTGCAGTACATGGATGAGCCTTGCGTATGTGCAAACTCGGAGGACGAGCTTCAGACCATCGACACCACCTTTATGGAGGCATATGAGAGTGTGAACCTCACCCGGAACATCCCACAAGATGAAGTTCCTCTACCAACCTAGCCTAGCATTGCGGAGCGAACCCCCAATCTCAAGGCTCACAGGGAGGCCTTGGAGAAAGTTGACTCCTTCCAATACCCGAGAAGTGTCCTATTGACCAAAGCTGTTATTGATGAAGAGATCTAGCATTGCCTCCAGTGTGCTAGTGCAGCCTTTGGCCACCTGAGGAAAAGGTGTTTGAGGACAACGTCATCAGATCCAACACCAAGATTATGGATTACAGAGCTATGGTGGTTCCCACCCTCCAATGTGGGTCTGAGAGGTGGACTGTCCACAGCAGACACCTCAAGGCGATGGAGCAGTACCACTAATGCTGCCTGCACAAGATGCTGTGAATCCACTGGGAAGAAAGACACACCAACACCAGCATCCTCGACCAGGCCAACATCCCTAGCATGGAGGCACTGACCACCTTTGATCAGCTATGATGGCTGGGCATGTCGTCCACATGACTGACACGAGACTCCCCAAGCAGGTGCTCCACTCCCAGCTCCGAAAGAGCAGGCAAGCTGCAGGTGGACAGGGGAAACACTTCAGCGATTACCATCAAGACCTCGCTGGGGAAGTGAAACATTCCCACAAACACCTGGGAGTCACTGGCCCAAGACCATCAAAAGCGGAGGAGGAGCCTTTGGTAAGGCATCAAGCACCTTGAGACTTGCTGTTGGGGAAAAAACGGAAGCCAGGTGAAAACAGCATAAGGAGCGCAGTGCCACACCAACACCCAACCCAACCCTTCCCATGGCCCTCTTCTGCCCCATATGTAACAGATGTGGAAGCTGCGTTGGTCTGTACAGCCACCTGTAGACGCACACTGAGAGTGGAAGAGAGTCATTCTCGATCAAGAGGGACCGCAGACGATGATAGTGTTGAGGTACATCCTCAATGTTGTTAGAAAGCGATTTCCAGAATTTTGATTCAATGATAGTCAGGGGACAGCGATATGTGCCTTGGAGCATGGCGACCTGCAGGTGGCGGTGTTTCCATACATCTGTCACCATTATCCTTCTGGGTGGCAGAGATTGTGGGTTTGGAAGGTGCAGACAGAGAAGAACTGGTGATCTGTAGATGGTGCACACTGCTGCTATTGTGTGTCGGTGGTTGAAGGAGTGAATGTTGACAGTGATGAATGGGGTGCTGAACAAGCAGGCTGCTTTGTTTGAGATGACATTGAGTTTTGAGTGTTGATGTTGGTGCCCAGATTCAGGAAAGTGGAGAATATTTCATCACAGTTCAGACTTTTGCTTTCTAGTCGCTGCATGGGTTTTGGGGAGTTTGGACGTGAGTTGGAACACCCCCCCCCCC